TTCTTTTACTATAAAATTACATATATATTGTTGACAAAGCATCACTATCAACTGATCTCCGCTCAGAATCGTTTTTCGTAAACAATGGTTAATCGTTGATTACAGATACACATTAAATTCCCGTCTATATCCTACTTTTTCAATTTTCCACCTACATCAGTGGCTGCACCCGTCCCCATTTTCTTACTATTTTTCTTTGTGTGAGCATCCCGGGCAAATATTTTCAACGGAAACAGTCGATATTAAAGATTTTTGGAGAACAAACGTTCCTGTTTCAGAACACGTCACGCTATCGTTTACTTGGTATTTTGTGCACAACTGTTCGATTTTATATTCCACGACCGTTGTCCCGGTTTTCTCTAAATTTACGTGTCTCCGCCGTTTTTCGCAATGTCCCGCGAGTGCAAAGAAATTACTGTATTTTTTAATTTTCGTGTTTTTTCACTGTATCTACGGTATTGTCGAGCATGATTTTTTTTAAAAAAATTCGTGTTTAATTCGTATTATTCGATTATGTTTATATTGAAACGGTTTATTTTTCATGATTCCTCGTCGTTTAGTTTTAATCGGACCCGATGGGCGGGAAAGTCTTTGGTTTACGATTCTATCGGTATCGTCGAAATTTACTATTTCGTGTTGTTTTGCCCATTATCGGAAAAGCGCGTGAATAGTTATGAAATTTTAGTGTTTAGTTTATTTTGGTTTCAAATGTTTGTCTTAAAAGTGAAAAAAATAATTATAATATAATATAATTTGACTTTGAGTTCTGTTGAAACGGTGATCTAAATTTTATTCGAAAATAATTCGGTAGAAAATATATTTACGAAAATTATTCGTGCAGAAATATACTTGACTAGAAAAGTATTTTAGTCGAAAAATAATTTATACGAAAATATAACGGGCGAAAAAAAATGCCGGACCAATATTCTACTGCACAAGTTTTTTGCCCGAAAAATAATTAATTACAGCCGCATTCCGTTAGAAAGTTAGTTATATTAAATACAAATAGTGTGCGATGTTGAAAAGGCAAGCGGCATCATGGCTATAGATATATTTGTATCTACGGCCACAGTAAAGTTGTCGGTGGATAATATCGTGGTTGTAGATAATACCAATAAAGATAGATTGATGACATTGTTTAATTTATGTAATCGATTAATATTGAGCATTTAATATTAGCATTGAGTAATGTGGGCTATGGATCTGATACATCCAAGTGTATATTATGTAACCGTGCTCCGTAGTAGAGAAACCTGTGTCCAGAAGTTAACAGATGATATGGCATAACGGTGTTATCATCTTAATGGGAATTTTCTACCGAAATACGGCTCTGACAAAATATTTCCGTACTCCATACGCGTCCCCGTTGAAACTAGACAATCTCGAATTTTTCGTTTTGGAGTGTGATGGATATAAATTTCGTGGCGGACTTAATCACGGGATTGTTTTTTTCTAATTGTTCGGTACAGCTGTAAACGAAAAGAACCGGCGGAATAATAAATGGGAAAATATTTTATTAAGCATTTAAACAAAACTTCACGGTCGTTCTCCGAAAATAACAATGGAAAAACGGCATCGCAATGTGTGTGCATGCTTATCGTTTACTGTTTACAGTTTTAATAGGATTTTGTTCTTTTTCGTAAAACACTTTTGTTATTAAAAACGCTTCGGCGTTTTCTGACCAAAAAGATAAATTCGGATTTGTCACATCTTTTATCGTCATCCAGACAACTTAACATGAATTATCTTTTCTTTTGTACATAAATTGAGATGTCCGGCAGTGTTTTTCACGTAAAACCATACGGGTCGGTGATGTACATTATTCTAAAAGGATAAATACATTTTCGAAACGTTGTGTTACGATAATACTATACAGATGTTACAACCCAATTAAAAACGTCGTGCTACTGCAGCTATATAATTATAATTAATACTAATTACGTCTCGATGATAATATCTCATAATTATCGGCGAATTAAAACAATTTTCGTTTAATACATACATTCGTGTATAAACATTTTCCTGATTTATTAATTTATTGCATAAATTATTCATACCGCTCTATAATGTATTATACAAGGTTATTCATTTAACGTAAACGCTTATTTTTCGCAAAGTAGGTGTTCGTTTTTCGAAAAAAAAAGATTTGACAATTCAAGAAAGAAGCAGTTCTGGAGTATTAAATTATTTTTCTTTCAGCTTTACAGTCCATTGATGGCTGCAAAACAAACACTTTTCCGTTGCTCATTGTCCTGAGCTACTTCGTTAAAATTGTCTATTCCTATTTGGGGGGGGGGTCCATTTTGGTGTATTGTGTACAATTTATTTAGCCTTTATTTCCAAATAACTACAGTACTTCTAGGTTAGGTCTAACTTGAAATGTTACATTACCGTTGTTTTATGTCACCCTTATATTTGGAGGTGAGCTTTCTACCTACTTTTGATTTTCGGACGGCAACCTAATAATACAAATAGATAGAGTATTAGTTTAAATAAATTTCGATGTGGAAATTTTTAATTTCCGGTTGGCGAGATACTATAATTTTAAATTTAGGTACGAATACATTAATTTATAATTTATTATTATCGTTCGAAATCAGATAATTATTGTTTTAAATTGATTATAGACGAAATAATTAACAATTATATTATTATTTTAAAGGTCGTTTTCAAAATCGTTCTGCGTTCTTGCCTTCTTGGATGATATCTGCAGCTATATTACAATAATATTATAACCTGTAAAACTACTTCCAATATCGAGCGTGTCATGGTATTCCACAATAATACCGTTGATTGCGGCAGATATTATGCCCTTTTATAATATATCAGATTATTCGTAGAATCTATAACGAACCGATATGTGGCGATAATCTGTCACGTCTGCGTTTATTTTTTTTTTTAAAGATTAAAGATTTTTGAGAACAAACGTTCCTGTTTCAGAACACGTCACGCTATTGTTTACTTGGTATTTTGTGCACATCTGTTCGATTTTTATATTCCACGACCGTTGTCCCGGTTTTCTCTATATTTACGTGTCTCCGCCGTTTTTCAGCAGTTTTATTTTTCTGATAAAATACCTATCGTTCTAACAAANTAAAATGAGAATCAATATTGAAAATTCCATAAAGAGATTGATTATTACTTTAAATAAATGTTGGTATTAACATGTTTGATTTCTGTTTATCCATTAACGAGATATTCCACTTAATAGTTTAGGGGGAAGAGTAGTGGAGTATCATTTGTGTGGCGTTTTATTTTTGAAAAAACAAAGTTAGTATCGCCACATGATATTCCCTAAATTTTGTGATAAATCTATTCGAAAATGTTGGCTTTAACTAGATTAAAAAATTCTAAAAAATCAAAATTTGAATATATGCAAATTATAAGAAAATAATAAGGTGAGCACGCTAAGTGAATCTCCTGTATAGAAACCTAAGAAACCCTAAGAAATGTTCTAAATTAGTGCTTCTCAATCTTTTTAGGACTGCGACCCAAATTTTCCCCCAAAACCTTATCGCGACCCACATTTCAGAAAGTAGTTTACGCAAACAGCAGGAAAAATCTTAAAATTACCTTCTGAGAGTACCACCCCACTCAGATTTCCTTTCAGAGTTCTGTTTTGAATTATGTTTTTAGAATTCTTGAAACATAAATTTTTTGGAATCTCAATAGGTAATACAAAACAATTTTCTTGACTTATCAAAAATTGATTCGGGGCTCACCAGTGGGTCGTCGTGACCCACAGTTTGAGATTTGCTGTTCTAAATGATAGTGAAAACCGTATCAAAATCCGTTGTGTAGCTTAGAAAAACTAAGCGCACAGACTGACAAAAATAGCGACTTTATTTTATACTATATAAATAGATTATATTTATAATATTAGTGATAAGTTTAAAACAGTTTACAATTTTGAATGTATATGTGTAGGAAGTGAATGGTTATCAATATTATTATCTATACAAACTAAGTGAAAACTAATGAAGTTTTTTATTTAAAAATCCACCGAGAAAATCGCTGGATCACGACAGAAAAATGTTCACCCTGTAAATAGAAACATTGCATAGGTGGATATCATGTTAATTTTCACTTTTCTGATTATCCGATTATTGTTAGGCCCAGTCTGTGTCTCGTATACGGAATCGAATATCAAGAGGTTATTGTTCGTGTGGTGTTTGATCGTTCTATTTGTTTTTTTTTGTCGATTGATTTCGACGGAATCAAAATAGTATAATCTTGAATTTGTTTTTCTACAGACTTTTCGGTAAAAACGGTTACAACGCTATAAAATATATTTTGCTTATGGAAATATTTAATTATTTCATAATTTCAGTGATATCGGAAACAGTCTACGAAAACGTTCAGCGGCGCACGTAATACTTATACATTGCGCTCATTCAATGAAAAAGGGTCTTCACACCAAAACACGCTGAGTCCTTTCGTCAACATTTCTTTGAAACGGTCGTCAGGCTTCTCACTTTTAGCCATTTATTGTACACCACGAGGACTAATAATTTGATTTTTTTTTTCAGATCTGACGAGATGGTAGAAGTTTTGGCAACCAGTTTTCAAAATTTGTACAACAAGTATGCCAGACTGGAAAACGTGGACAATTTTCCGAAACAGAAAATATACATAACCCCAGTAAAAGCCCAGCAAGACACTGTTGAGTATGACGACTCACAAATACAAACCCAATTCCGCAATCGTTTGAAATCCCGTAAGACTTTCTATTTTGACACCAAACAGTTGTGTGAGGTGAAAAGTTCGAAATGGGATATTCTGTCTTTAAAGAAACAGCGTCCTCTAGTTGGACAATGTTGTTCAGTTTGCATACCTGTAAGATTTCCACAATTTTTAATATGTAATTACCCAAACATGTTTTTTGTATATTTTATCTGTTTGTTTTCCAATATGCTGTAAAGAAAAACATGAAAGTCGAGTCAGCATTAAAGAATATATTAGACATATATAACATTGATCCTTCTATTAAAACATCGATGTTTGGTAGAAATGTTGAGACTCTAATGTTTTTTAATCGGCTGAAAAGCCACCAGTACAAATACATATACAATGAAGTAAGTACACTATAATAATATTATCATAAGTTCAGAACCATCTATAATTATTGACATAACATTAATATAAGATGTTCTATCCATATAGTTTTAATTTCACATACCAATGAAGAATATTTTTGTGTTATGTGGATTTATTATTAGTGAGGGTTGGGCTTCAATACATAATACATCTTTTTTTTGAGTGATCTTTGACTATGCTTTCCAAGTGTTTAATTTGATTCATGTAACAGAAATTTTAAAGGTGAATCTTTTATTTGCCATTTTAATTTTTTTTTCATTTTTAGAGCATATTTTAACATTGTTTGTTGTTTTTTTCCACGTTTTATTACATATTTATAAAATTCNCTTGATATATTTAATCTATGATACAACTTAATAATTTAGATTTAGCTAATTCAAGACAATACCAATGTTTTTCGAGTTTTCCAGTCAATCAGTGAAATACAGCCTTATTTAGTTGGTGTGAGGAGGTATTTTAGGGATGTCATTTTAGGATTTTCTCAAAAATTTTCTCTTCAAATGTGAAAAATCGAAAAAAAAACCTGAAGGTAAACCGGAAAATTTACGACTACACTAGTAAAATATTACGATATTTTTTTTTCTATGGTCAACTTTTTTACCACCTTATAATAACAGCAATTTTTTAAAATGTAAATTTCACTTGGGAAGTACTTTAGAGAGGTAATTTTTTGATTTTCTCAGAAGTTTTTTAAACAAATTTTAATAATCGAAAAAAAATCGTTGGGAAAACGGAAAAATGTAAAAAATGTAGGTATTAGCTAAAAATATTATGGATTTCTTTATTTTTGTGGACAAATGTAAAAAATCAAAAAAACGGGATACATTTTAATTTTGGAATTGGAATAATTGAAATCATTATAGTATGATTTCAATTATTCCAATGGCATTTATATTATTGACAAAGCATTACTATCAGCTAAACCCCGCTCAGAATCGCTTTTTTAGTAATAATGGTTTTTCGTTGCTTAAAGGTGTACATTAAATTAAGTTATACCAGTGGCTGTGCCGGACCCCATAATCCTAAGACAGAGGTCGGGAACCTGCGGCTCCGGAGCCGTATACAGTTTCTTATCATGCAACATGTAGCTCTTTGGAAAATGTACCAAACTGGGTTTATTTCAATGGCCTCCCAAGTCTGGATTTTGAATTTTTCTAACGTCAATCGTTTGTGCCGTTTGTACCCTTTAGTCCTATGTTTGTGCTAGTCTTCGTCCCCGTGATTTCAGGGGGGAGAGGGTCACTATTCGGCAATACTGATTATTATATTATGGAATTCAAATAATCGTATTATTGATATTTTAGATTTTAGGAAATCGACACGGGGAAGTTTTTTTTAAGAGGTCATTTTTTGATTTTCTCAAGAGTTTTCTTTATCAAATGTGAATAACCAAAAAATACCGGAAAATGTACGAAATATATTATTAAAATACTACGTTTTTTTTTCCTGTGTATAACCTTTCTACCAGCAATTTTGTTCCAACATTTAATGATATCAATATTTAAAAATGTACCTTTTTACAACACTGTCTATTAAAATAAAATTGTGAAAACAAGTTGTGTTCAAAGTACTCTTATCAGTTAGTAGTATCGGTTAGATTCTATTATCAACAATCACCGCCTAAATTTGTTTTAGCAACAGAATACAAAAGTCATGAAAGCTTGCTTTATACCAGTAAAAACTTAATAAAAGGTTTACCATTGGTACCTTCTTGAAAACTAGTTAATTATTCCTACCAATTTTTACATAATATTGAGATAAAGTAAGTTTAGGTGAAAATGTCAATTTTGAATTACATTATTGCATTTTTGCCATTTTCAAAAACATATTTTAATGAATTAATGGACATATTATTCAAGCTATAATCATAATATTATGTACAATTTTATTAATAGGTAATAATGTAAATTATTGCAACAAAATATATTATAATTTATAACTAAAAATTGTATTATTTACAATACTTTATACTCACATTTGTAGACTGTAGAGTGCAGGTGATTAATATTCCCAAGTCAATTCAAATAAAAGAATGAACGCTATCAGATATTTTATTCGCATTCATCTTTATACTCGGAAAATTGTTTTGTTTATACTCTTTATGTTTAATACAATAGTTATACAGAGTGATTATTTTATCGTTGAACACTCATATTTCAAAAATGATGTTAAAGGTATTACAATAAAGTTTAGGCAAAATAAACAAAAAAAGTGCAAACACATAGTATACTTACATATATATAAGTAATGTTTGTATTATCTTATAATTATATATTATGTTGATGAATGAAACATTGGTAAACTAACTCCTAAAAGCTACAATACATAAAATTAATGGTAAGTGTATTAGAATTTTTTATCTTTTATTAGCGTTTTGAAAATGGTATAATTTCGGAACAGAGACAGCACTAACGACGGGATTTTCAGTACAAACCAGCATTAACGTAGTACAAAAGTCCTAAAGTGTGAACAAATTTCAAATTTTCTTTGTGGGGGGGGGGGCATCGTTAAATTGATGCTTCGAATAATACCTTTGAAATTGCTGCGGTATTCTCGTTCAATTGTTTAATATATTTGTGGTCACCACAAATCATAAACTCTTATTACTAAATTCTTAATAAATAAAGGAACTAATTAAATGTATTATTATAGGCAGTGGGTATTTTAAGAAGACAACATTAATAATATTATTTATTGTGTATGTATACATTTGAAACTATTTTGATTAAAGGTCAAATAATCAAAAAATATCAATAATACAACTATTTGAATGCTATCATATAATAGTCAGTATTGCCAAACAGTAACGCCCCATCAATAAAATCTCGGGAACGAAGGCTAACAAAGACGTAGGACTAACGAATGACATTAAAAGAAATTCAAAATTCGGACTTAGGGGACCACTAAAATAGAACATATTAAATTTTAAAACCAATTTAGTTGTTCTTACTAACTACCAATTCCAAAAATGATGGCTTAGTAAAATATATATATAAAATATTGTTTTGTGTACTAAAGTATGTTGTTTCAATCTTAACAATTGTGGCTCTTTGAAAATCATAATATGTAATTTATTTAATAATGGCTCATTTGCATGAAAAGGTTCCGACCTCTGACCTAGGACGTCTTTTATAAGTGCATTTTTGCAGTAAAATGCAATTTGTAAAGCCAATTCTAGCTTTTTTTAGGACATTTTTCAATAAAGTTTAGAACATTTAAATCCACGTCCTAATGTTAGGAAACAATTATTATTTATTAATTAAATTAATGAAAATAACAAAAAAATAAAAATCGTGTGTTTAACAGTGGATAAAACGAGAAAAAAAAATCTAAGATGGATTGGGAATGTTATGGTGAGAGGAGTAATCAGACATAGTATTTTTAATGAAAGTAAACTAACGAGAAAAGAGAATTAGATAGAGAGAGAAATAGACCAAAAATAGCTGGATGTGATTGAGAATAATATGAGGACAACCGGTGTATGCAAAGTGGGAGATCGGGTCAAGTTGACGTTTT